TTGTGATGTTTTAGAAGTCAAGAAGCGCAACTTTTGGCACCCCAGTGTATATATATATATAGTTAAATTAGAAATCCTGCAAAATCTCCATGTCAGCCAAGTAGATCATATGTATGATATCAATGATATCAATCCGAATGTTAATTCTTTCGTGACTCTAAGATCCCAGGTCACCAAGCTCAATGCAAAGCGTTTGACTGCTGTGAAGGCTCGAGAGCGCACTGCTGTGTGGGGTTCCTTCCAGATTTTCTCACTTCCCTACATAGCAAACGTTCTAGGAAGGTTTGGACAATGATGTTCCAATACTGTACCATTTCATCTACCTGTGTGACATTTTGCTTTGTGTGTGTGTGGTGAGCTCAAGTTACTTGCTGTGGACAGAAAGCAATGGTTTCTCCTGTCTTTTCCATCTTGTGGCACGGATGGAATAAGAGCACAGAAGAGCCGGCATTAAGGGTGGTGATGGATGTCATGGGTGGTGAATGTCAATTTGTCAATTGCTCAAAAGATGAAGCTATGCTGCAATTCACTCCAACCGTGCGTCAAACCTCACCACCATTTTGATACAGTGTGTATTCACTACCTACCTATACATATATATATATATATTGTCCTATATTTGTTGGTTCACACACACAACCTCACTCACATTCAGTCTGGCAGGTGACACCTGATTGGCGTTTCGTGACCTTTCTTGGATCCCTGAAAGAGGACTGACGTGATCCAGAAGCTCTAAGCAACTCAAGTGCTTGAATCGGAACGCGTCGCAAAGTTCTGATAGACCGCCAACCTTGCTCTTCGCGTGAAAAGCACGCAGCTTTGACCTAGATGTTGCTGACAATCAAGCAAGGTCTCAGATACACTCGGCGCTTGATTGGGTCAGAGTAAAGAAGTCTGAGTACTTTTCTCCCGAGAATCCTGCAAGTAGACAATTCTCTTTGGCACGTTAGCTGCAACTAGCCCTTGGGAGGATGTGGGGAACCTTTACGCAGTGGATGCCCAAGACAAGGATGCCTTGAAGGCCATCCCGCTGCTGAGCCATGCTCAGCTTTCTGCCTTGGATGCTGCTTGTGAGATGCACACCCAGCAAGTGCAGGAGGTCCTAGAGGACGGCGTGCTGAGCTTGTCTTATGTGAGACTGTAGAAAAGGGTATCATGATGTCTTTGGCAAAAGTTTTGACACAGGGCTTCGTGCCGACCTGGAACCTCAAAAAAGGCTAGCGTGATAGTCTGCTTGGTGAAGGACACGCGGCCGGACCAGAAGTTTGTACGGCAGCAGGCTTGGAGAGCGGTGAACCCTCAAACGAGATATATGTGAACAGACAGGCTTTGACGTCAACACTGTTTGATTGAAGACTGTCTGTGAACATCAAGGTCTGTTTAAAGCAATGCGGTTTTGTTCGCAGGCGCGCCTCAGCGGCTTCAAACACCTGCAGGCGCACCTAAAGCATCACGAGGGACGTCAAATGATCGAGAGGGGCTCAGAATCCACAGTAGTACAGACCAGAAGAATCGGTAGGGGGGAAGACATTCACCACCTCCAGCCGCCCAAACACTGTAAACACAGTTGTCCGATTTTGGCAGGTGGTGCCTGAGCAGTCCTGAGCAGCCCACCAACAAAAGACGACGGTTCCGATGTTCCCCGGTGACGGTGCCCATCAAGAAACAGGGAGCCCCTAGTAGCGTCCTTGTTCCTGGTGGCAAACTTAATGCCCTTTTGGAAAGGAACTTAGAGAGAATTAGGTGCTTTGGAGAGGAGGATGTTGTCATTTCTGAAGACACCAGCTTTGTCGTTAGCACCGGGCATTTCTGAAGACACCAGTATGATCAGTATGTGGAAGGCCGAGGTTGGCTCTGGTCATCAAGAATATTCACATTGGCACCTTCTGAGGCTGCATGGGGATGTGGAGACAACAGTAATGTATATTATATATGCTACTGTAGTTGTTACTGTATATGTTACTGTAGTCTGTGATCTTAATGCCTTTAGACCCGGCTGAATTGGTCCCGCAGGTGATCATCCCCGGCATCCCAGCATTAGAGTTTGGTGGCTCCTTGCAGGTGCGGGAACGGACACGGCTGTTTGGCTTTGGCAGCTTGAAGATCTTGAAGGGTTGGAACATGGGGATCGGCCTTGACTTAATCCAGTTTTTTTTGAAAGATGGGTGCTAATCACCTAGCAGAACATCCAAGCAGCAAAGCTGCCCTTCAATCATCAATTTTCTGCCGGGCAGTGCTGTCCTTGGCCTGTTTGAGCTAGTGACGAGGGAATTGCGAGTATGGTATGGAAACAATGGTGACCGTAGTGATCTAAATTGAAGGCTTTTTGTTGGATTGCCACTCGGACCAGGGGCTTCCAGCACAGCCCTGGGGTACTTCGTTGGTCTACCGCGCGGCTTTCAGCTTCACATGCCGGCAAGCGATGCCCGTGGTGGAAGCCGTGCCCATTCAGTTCCTCGAAATCAACTCAGAGGTCTTTTGAACATTGGCGAGACAAATTCAGAAACCCTTGGAACGTCTTGGAACCTTTATTGAGGTCTTTCACTGTCCTGAAAGCCCTCCCACCTCAGGTTTACAAGTGAAACATTGATCAGTTCCACTCATGGTCACGCTTACCATTGCCAGTCGAGTGTATTTCTTTTCTTATGTTTTGTGTGTGCGCGCGTCTTTCTTTACAATTGTACCTTTGCACTTTACACACCTTTTTGCCTTGTTTTTCCTCAGCTATAGGTTTCTTTACTTTCTCAATGACTGGGTGCCTATATTCCGTTTTGGTTTGCCTTTGCTGTGTGCGTCTGCTGTGCGTCTGCTGTGCGTCTGCTGTGCCGCTGCTGCCTTGTCTCTAGAGACAAGCCTGATCGAGACACCAATTGCTCAGTACCTCCAGGACGTATTGTGTGTATAATGCAGAATCCGTTGTTCACAAGACTTAAGTTTGCCAAAGACCGGTCGCTTGGATTTAGAAAGAAACCAACATTTATATCTATATCTCTATATATATATATAGGTCTAGGAACCTGCGGATCAGTGATGCACTGCTGCACAACCCACTCCACTAGCAATGGTTCTGTCCAGCTCTAGCCACAGATTCTGTTTCCGTCACTATGAAGCCAGGTGTTTGGCTTCCAACATTTTCCAATCATGGCTATGCAAAATTGTTCAAGATACATCAACAGCCGTACCCACCCTACCCATCTTTTTATCCGAGGTTTTCCAAGTTGGCAGTGGTTGACTTCCAGCTGAAGAACCTCACCGGCGCCCGGGCTGGGCCCCAGGCCTTTGCGGCCTCCCAGGTCCGGGTGCTCAACACCCGGCCGGTGGCACCACCGAATGCCGATGAGGGCGCCACTAGCAAGGCGGGGCAGGAGAGAATCCTGGGTGAAACTGTGAAACATGGTGAAACCAGAAACAGATGAGACGAGATGATGAGATGGGAAGGGTGTTTGAGGGAAGGAAAGGAGATACCCTTAACTGAGGACATCAATGAACACGCATAATCGGTCATTTACATATAGAGCTCACAAGAAGGGGCATGCAAGGAACTCTGCATCAACAGCAGGTTCAGGAAACAGTCATTTGCCGCGCCTCTTTTTCAGGGGCTTTCCATCTTGGGACATACCATACTCACTGCGCATCAAACCAGCTTACTCAACTTAGTTGTAACTTAGTTGTGACATTGGCTTCCTGACGGGTCGTCCGAAATGTATTAAACTTTTTGGTTGAACTGGTAATACAACGACAAGCATTGGTTTTTGAGCGGTGTGGCCTTCAAGGCCAGGGCAAGCCCAGTAGCCTACCGCCGCAGGGTCTCATTTTTAGCCACTGAAAAATCTGGTTTTCCCAGATGCCTAGGTAAAAAGGAGTGCTTTTGGAGTGTTCTCCTGGGCTCCTCCCAAGCCAATGCACGGCAATCCTCACATGGCTCCCAATGCAGGCGCATCGATATTTGTCGCACTGCTGCCCACGCTTTGTACCAAGTAGCTTGGCATGAAGATTTGTGACATGGGAACACCAAATGGAGTCCATATGGCGTACAGTTGGTACGTGAAAGCGCAATCTCCACCTAAACCAGCAACACACGCACATACACAGGGTTTCTTTCTCAGAGCCGTTTTGACTGGTGCTGCGGTTGCATTGAACGATACACTGGCGGTTTCACATCCATCTTTGAACCGTACCCACATGAGCCCTGGTCACTGGACTGTGCAAGATGTCTGCCACTGGACTTCCTGGTTAAAAACAATTATATAGTTCATTGGAAGAATGTGTTGCTTTCGTTGTTTATTGCAATGACCCATGCCAGATGCCTGGTTTGGAGAGTTTGATTATCATGCCCGGGACATGTTGTCTTCAGATTGTGGTTTTTGCCTACTGTATAATATACAGTATTACCAGGCATGCTATTGACCATTTGGTTCTGTGATCACTAACACAGAAAGGGATGAACAAACATCATTGAAAAAGCTCCTACAGGAGCCAATATGGCAGGCGTTAGAAGTCAGGATCAAGATGGATCAAGTCTCAACCGGGCTTCGGGGCATGACATGGTTCCCATAGTTTGCTCTTGTAAATGTTTTTTTCCACTTCTATTGGGAGCCGCTCAAGCTTGTCCATGACTGTTTCCCCAGAAATGTTCCTCAGATCGGTCCTATGGACAGTTGCCCATACATGACACAGCAACTCGACTCCACTGGTTTTTCTCTTGCAGTTCTGGACATACTCATGTCATGATCCACACAAGCATGTTCTATGACCTTCGGTTTTCGCATGCCCATCAGAGACGCCGTGTTTGTCCACAACGAACCTGCCCAGCGCCCGCCAGACCTCGCGTCGAAGGTAAGCAGGGCGCTGAGTTGCTCTTCGTGGCCGAAGACGTGGCACCTGAAGTGCAAAGCAGCAACTGGGCCCCGGAGGTCTCCCTGCCGCAGCGGCTGCTTGCACAGATGCAGCTGCTGGACTCTTGTAGATCAAATGGAGAGACGGAAACAAGTATACAAAATTTGTGAATGGAGAGACCAAGTTTGTGGGAGACGTCGGATATGATGATAAACCTTCTATCCTGCTGGATTTTGATAGTTAGTTATATCTCTACGTTGATATCTCGAAAGTGGAACATGTGCTGATTTTGTCGACATTGGTTTGAGAGGCGAAGACCATCACTATATAAATGCCAGCAGTTTGTTGCCCTGCTTTGTCTTTCAAACTGCTTAAGATGCTGGAACGCTGTTTGTTTCTAGTTTGTAAGATCATGTCCCTGCTGGACAGATTTGTTGGAAGACATTCATGCCATGTAGAGCTTGGAGGCTGCACAGTTCTTTCGATTCTCCACTTGTCCGAGTAGATGTCACTTGTCCAACACGGGTTTTTTAAGGAAGATTCTGTGACTGGAAGGAAGCTGACAGAGGAGGTGTGGAGAACTGATAGATTATCCGTTCCATTCCGTTCCTATGCTTGTATGTCCTGGTTTTGGAAAGAGCGCGGACTGCCAACTGCTCAGTTTCACTTTAAGGCATGTCATTGGTCTAAGCTCCAAAGCCATCTTCCAGATCCTTCCACTCCCCTTTGCTGAAAGCCAAATCTGGCTCTGCCAGGCATGGAAGGATGTTCCTCAGACGCCCGGAGTCCGTGGAGCGATTTCCGACAAGGAGATGTCCCAGGCACTGATGTTTCTTCTCGTGAAATGTTCGACAAGGAACTGCCTTTGAAGGACCAAAACTATCCAAAACTCCTTGGACTCCTTCGACAATCAATTGTGGTTGATGTGTGTAGACCATGAATGCAATACATTGATAGCTCGTCACATGAACTGTTGAAACATATATAACTCGCCACCAAGCCAAACCATTCTTAAACTTGCATCCTTGTGGTGATTGTGATGAGATGAGGGCTAAACCAGAACTGGAGGCACTATTACAAATCAATCTGAATGTGAGGTGATGTGGTCAGCTCACTTGGCAACTGACCATGCCGTGCAGGCAATGGAGCGACACGAGGCACAAGTCTTGGCTCAGGGCGCGCAGGAGTGGCACGGGTGTTGGTCGCCTTGAAATCCAGACGGTCCAATACCTTCGAAGTTTTCGGTCGAATCATTTCATACCTCCGAAACCTTCAGCAGACTTTGAGCTGCGCTTCAGATGCGAACATGTGAGCCGCGATTCTTCATGAGTCCGCCGTCCACAGAACTTTTGTCGCTGATCTAAAGATGTTCAGGTTTTCGGTTACAGCATGTTACAGCATATTCTGTGTTTGCTTACAGCAACCTCCCGGGGTTGGCTTGTATATACATCAGAGTCAACCACATAGACCAAGGAAGTGCAGATTCGGTCTCAATGAGCTTATATAGTTGATTTGTTCTGTCATGGTTCATGGAGAGGATACACAGGTTTCGATTTCTTCCTTTTGCAAGCGCTAAAGGGAGCCCTCCCATGCAAGGAGATCAACGCAGACTCGCAGATGTGGCTTGGCTTGGATGCGAACAACGCTTCTATGACAATCCACATTTGAACCCAAGATGACCTTTGATTGCCTCTAGTTGCCCACTGCCATAGAAGACAATCGAACAGGGTTAGCCTAGTTACAATCGATTGACCCTCGTTCCCAGGCTTTCGATGGGCCAACACGAGATGCCCTTCGCACCAGTGAGTGGCTGCCCAGAATTCGTGCCTTAGCATGCAAGAAAAGAACCGCCAAGGCCCTGTTTTCGGCAGCATCCCTGGTTTTCACACCGGTCCGCAAATTGACCCCTTGTTTGTAATGGGATCATGCAGGTGCTGAGAAAAAATCTGCTGCCTGCAGCTCTTTAACTTGTCTCCACTATACTTGGGTCGAACGTCTGGGCCATTGCCCGTAGGGAAAGACCTCAGAAAACAGAAGAGTAAATTTTAGTTGTTACCCAGACCGCCTTGGTGTTCAACATTTTACAGCAGTCAACCAAGATACGCGAAGCCGCCAGCAAAATATATGATGTGCATCAATATTTTCAGCTGGACAACTTTGAATGGATGGATTTTGCTCAAGAGCATCATTGTTGCTGAAGAGCTTAGGTGCCAAGCTTCTACAGTGGCACTCAAAGTTTGCAGGAGGCCGGAAGAATCTTCGATTCGTCAGGCTTTTGTCACACGATTCTACCAAGACTTGTAGATCCTGTGTGGCCGCATTAGATCTACACTTGATATGTTTTGATACAGTAGACTTAGACTGGTGTGTATGTTTGGTGATGCTTCGAATCCCTCCCCTTCTCTCTCTCTCTCTCGACTCAAGCGGGAATGCTGCAGAGTCGCTTGTCTTAAGCATAGAGTAGAATCTAACACGGCAGAGTACGGCAGACCTTCTTCAAACAATCTTTGAGATTTTGCATCAGTTTTTCAATTAACTCTATAGCAAACTTGTTCTTAATTACACATTCAGCCTTTGACGTTGATACCAGAAACATGTTGAGATCCTAGATGCTTCAGAACTGTGAGGTGACTGACCCTCTGGACCCTTCAGGAAGAGATCACCCGTTGGTCCAACAAGTGTTCAACATAACACTTCCACTCACACGTTGGTCCCAGTGGGGAGGCCTTCCATGCAGACCTCTTCGAATCTGAAGAGCAGCGCCTCCGGGAACAACGTCTTAGGGATCAAACCAGAGACTCCTTTGTCGCTTGGGCCTGGAAGATGCTGGACTGAGACGCCAGGGCCGCCAGATCATGGACCTTTCTTTAGATCTTTCTCAGAACACATCCTTTAGATGTTGGTTCTTGCATTTACCAGAATTTACCGGGGGCCTTTATCATTATTGAAAGCGTATGCAATGTGCTGGCCCAGCTTGCCCCAAGATGCTATCAAGCATTGAGGATGACTGACTATGAGGGATGTGTTCGCCCTCGTTTTTTGGAATTCTTAAATCCACTTCAAACTCTATGTTCACACTACAGTAGTGTGAGACTCGTGAGAGTGAAACATACGCCCTGGATGGATGACAAAGCGTTTGCTGAGGTTTGCTTGACAGATCCTAGTGCCTTGTACTGCAGCGATTTGTAGTTTGTCAAGATACCCCTTGAGGCTAAGGCATCCTCCTTGACATTTGGAGCATCTGGTCCAGTTGTTCAGTTGTTCCGGAGTATTGCAAACAAGCGAAGGCAGTGCTACATGTGTCTTCAGGCAAGTAAGAAACTAATTGGATGCCTTCAACTCAAACAAGAATCGGTAGATTGTTGGTATATTGTGTTTTGGACCCGCATCGGACAGGGGGACGAACATGACTCAACTCAGCAGCACCCTTTGGCAGCAAGGTAGTAGCTCTGTCTTGGGCATCGATGCTCAAGTCCTGGCGGGCTCGTTGGCAGCCGGGCCCAGCATGGGTCAGGCATGGAAGATAGCATTCCTGTACCAGCTGGTTTTAATAAGCACGGGGTATGTCCAGTGACGTATACCACTTGTATCCACTTGTAATCACTTGTATAGTTGTATCCGACTATTTCTAACTCCAGCGTCTTGCCTTAATTGGTAACTACTGGTAGGCAAAACATGTGCCATCAACTGCTTTATCAACCCTCAAGACTTCACAAGCCGTTTGAGCTTAGAACAAGTCCGCCTTCCTTTAATATTGCAAGGAACAAGTGCCTCGCTACTAGTAACAAGTGCCTTACTGTAGCTTCCGCATGTCAGGTGAGCTTCCGCCAGTTGCTTTACAACGTGAAAAGCCTTGGCCATGGCCTTGTGCTAGGTGGTTGCAAGCCCATTCGAGCTGCGGGGCGACAGGGGCATATGCGTTGCTAGGAGATGATTGTATGGGTCAAACCCGCATGGATCGTCCTCCGAAAACTGGTGCACAGATTGGTCGTACTGAGATCGTCCTTTCTCATGAGGGTAGGATTTGACCCATACACGCTTGCTTTCGAAAGGTTTGGTTTTAGGGTTTTGTATTTGTAAGTCCTTTAAAACCTTTATCCATGCTTCCGGAGGGCCCACGGCTCGGCGGTTTATCACCGCATTCCTAGGCATGGAAGCTGCGCTGGAAAGCGTCAAGAAGACGCTGCGTATTAGCGATAGTCGAGGCAAATACACCACCTGGTTGGCGTGCCTAACAACTGATCAGAAGGTCGCTATTGTGGAAAGTGAAGACACCAAGAATTGGATCAACATGTGTCTTGGCAAAACCTGGAGCCTGGAGTCATTTCGTCAGACACTCTTTAGACAATTTTTGAACTTGTTTCTACCTCCATCTATTCCAAGTTGAAGGCTCTTGATTTTGTAACAGTTTTTTGTTGGCTTTTCGGGACTGTGCCCTTCCAACTTCCATCCAAAGATTCTTAGAGCTCATGTACTCATGTACTTTAAGAATCTTTTGTTAATCCTTTGCAATCAAGATGATTTTACATCCTAGCGAGTTTTGGCAGTTGGTTACTGAGGTCAATGCCATATCCCTTTTGGACCCGCAACCATCCCTTCGTTTGGTGCTTACATGAGCACCAAGAGTCTTGCTTTGAAGTTTGGTCCAACCCGAACCCCAACGAGTGAGCGAGGGAGTCTTCAGAGAAGTGTCGGCCAAAGGCGCCAAAGGGATGGGGCATCGACGTGCTGCATATTGCTGGTTGCCATTTTGGTTGAATCTTTGGTCCACTAAAGTAGGCACATCAAGGCACATCAAGGCACAAAATACCGGTAGATGGGCAAGTTGGTAGGCCGGCTAGCCGTTTTATTCTGCAGAGGTTTGCGTAGAAGAACACGACAACAATATGTTTGCTGATACATTTGTGAGTCCTGTTCCACTTTCTTGCCATTTGCAGAGTGCCATAGAGTATTGGCGCAGTTTGGCATTGCAGTTGATTGCTGAAACAGCATCAGCATTTGGTCAACCAGAATGCGGCAACAGCAAAACCGGGTGAGCATGGTTCAATCATCAAGTAAGGATGACATGCTGACAGGCTTGGGTGAGTCACGATCCACCAATCAACGTGTGTGTTGTTTCTCCCAACAAACCTAACCAGAAAATTTAGAAATTACTACGTATTTTAAAGCGTTTGTCATACAAAGAAAAACAGGCGATATGAAACTGGAGAAGATTTCTGTACACTGGGTTTTAACCTGAGCACGTAGATCAGACTGGTCTACGGGTGTTGGGGAGCAGTGATCAGCTTGTTCAGCGTCATGGTGGGCAGTTGGACGAAGCAGCCTTCTAATTGGACTGGTGAAGAGCCTTATTATTTCAACAAGAAGTTTGCAAACTGCTGCATGGTACTGCATGGCCAATATCGTCGTTATATAATTATATAATGGCCAAGTAAAAACAAGCTTTCGGTGTCACAAACTTGTAGTATTTCTGGGTAATCTGTAACATGAAATACCTCACCTACCCCACCCACCCGAAGAATCCCTTGGACACTTCGTTCATGCGTTTCTTTCGCAGGAGATCCGCCAGGCCCTTGGCTGGGATTTGGTGCCCGTCGTGCGAAACCGCCAAAGGGCGCTTTTCTTCGGTGAGTGGCGCGGCCGAGAGATGGGAGGGAGCGGCCGGTGAGACTGACCGAGAGAGAAAGAGACAAAAACATGAAGAGATAAAGTAGTGAGAGAGAGGGAGAACAATAAGAAAGGCTGAGTCAGACCAAATTGGTCAGAGAAGGCTGGGTAAGGGGAACAATCACTTGGTGCGGTCACACCTATCTTTAAGCCAGAAACCTTCAACATCATGAGGTGTGGAACATGAGCAAGACCAGGTGGTTCTACCGGATTTTTATTTGTGAACCCATGCGGATGCATTTGGAACAAGAATAGAGAATTGGGAAGTAGTGAGTGGACGGTTCGCACTGGTCTACATTGTGAGTTTTGACAACCACATTGATGGCTGTACCAACCATTCATGCGGCATAGTTGATGATCAAGGTGGTGCCCCAAACACCAGATTTCCTCCCAAACTGGCCTTGAGACGGCACAACGCATGCTCATCAAGAGTCAGGCCAAACTACCCTTAGGTTGGCTTGGAGGGGGTTGTTGGACATTGAGAGTGGATGGGGCTGCTTTGACCTCCCCTTTTGCTGGGCAGTTGTGCACCACCAAACAGCAACACATAGAGCCGGATGAAAAGGATGCCTCATGTATCCTCATGTTTTATACAGGTAGTTGACAAGCCCCTCCATTGTAGCCTGACCCCTTCTTCACAGTCTACCCACCTAAAAACAAAGGTCTTGCACATGGAGATTTATGCGGCATGATCCCTTCATCCTGTTTGATTCCTTTTAGACAACGGAATTACAAAATGAGGCACCCGGTGGAAAGCTCAGCTGGAGATCAGGTCTCCCTTTGATAACTTCGGACCTGCGCTCTATGATGCGCTGCGGCCGGGGCAGGTGCAGCTCTGGTGCGGCAGAGAGTTGCCTGATGTTGCCTGTTTATGTCTAACGTTTGATTTGTTTGTGTTTGATTCGCTGTTATTGTTGTTATTTGCAAAGCAATCTTCTCTATTTTTGAGTTTTTGCGGTCGGATGCGGGAGATAAATGATGGTAGCGACTAGTCGAAGCGGGACACACCACAACAAAAGATCTATGTGGGTAGCCGGAAGCATTTGGTGAGGCATTGCAGGCGCATCCATGAATTAGCAGCAAGAAGGCGAACGTGTTATCAATACATAGACATATCGAGGAACAGCTCAGAGACGTAGACTACCAAGCCGGCAACAGGAAACCTATGAAACCTGTGATCACTGGGTATTTTGCCGGGCTTTAGATGATGCTACTAGGAGCAAAGGGCATCACTACTAGGAGCAAGGACGCTACTAGGGGCTCCTGACATCGCTACTAGGAGCATTCTTACTACTAGGAACATCCAGGAACAAGGACGCTACTATATAGTTTAAATGATGCGCTGTTGAAACACCTCCACTACGGGCGGTTCCAGGAGCCAACACCGGGCGAGGCCGTGTGACGCGACGGGCGACCGAGCCCTCATGCGCAGCTGGACGTGAGAATGGGCCCACCAATGCAAAGTGCTTGAGGGAGGACTAGAAGCTTCTAGCTACTAGTAGTGTCAGATTTCATGTTAATTTCTTTGACTACCAGTTGAAGTATCAGCAAATATCAGCAAATCGACTATCACACCCAATCCACTGCTACAGTCAGTTGTTTGGTTGTAATGCACCCAAAGATTCAAGAAAAGTGTGACATCCTTCCTGGCACACGGGAACAAGACAAAGAACAAGGAGATCATAGATCCTTTGCTTTCGTGGAAGACCCTTTAAGGAGTACTGGCGAACTGGTCGGCGGTTCTACAATCGCTTGCAGAGATTCTCGAAGCAGTTTGTCTCGTCAACATGTACAATTGCTGTAATACTGACGAAAAACACGTAAATTGACATAAATACAATATAATGCAATGTTTGAATTGATGTTTGAGATGACCAGATTCTGAGATTTCCTCTGTGATCCAGTGGGTTTGGTTTCCTTTGCGAACCCTGTAGGCCCAAGGCCTCATGAACCTCTTTGCACGGGACGATGACCTTGGGGCCTGGCCTGGGAGAGACCACTCAGCGGTTGGGGCGGATGTGATTAGGTCTTAATCGCAGCAGACCTGGCTTGGCTTGGGACTCAAATAAGAAGTGTTCCTGTGATTATCGAGGGAAATTTGGAGAAGTTCTTCCATATTCCACCTGTTGAAGGGCTTCATTTTGACTTTTGTCATATTCCAAGTTTAGCTTGTGTCTTATTTGCAATCGCCAGTGCAGCTGCGCTGATTCATGTGAGTCATGTCTCGCTTCTGCATCCGTCCTGTTTGAAGCTCTTCGTTGAAGAACCTTGCCAGGCCGAGAATGCCGTGCCCGGCTTGGATGAAGCCACACGAAGCTACCTGAGAAAGAAGTTCGGACCTTACAAAGATACAAGCTATTGTTTAACATATACAGTAAATGCATGCATTCTAGGAGTTGTACCAAACATGGAAATTGCAGAAGGGATTACTTTTTGGTGCCTTCCCATGGTCGGAGCGTGCTTGCCTTCTGATCCCAAAGTGGGTGCTTTCTGCACTGGTTATATACATTTATGATGTCATTGGTGAATGTCAGAGTTTTGACTTGCATCAAGTGGTTTACTCCACTAAAGTTGAAGCCTTTGATTCGATTTCATGGCCAATCTCCTTGGTCCTCAGTTGTGTGAGGTGCGATGGCAAGTCGCAGATTTGCGAGTGATGGTGGTGAATTTGGCATGTATTGAGAAACTGCTGGCCTCGTGTGGTTTCCGTAGACCTGAGACAACCCAACGTACAAAATACCACTTACAGTATTATTATTAGTTTGCCTGATGAATGGCTTTCAAGACCCCAGACGCTATCGGAAGTCGTGTGTGATTCAATCTTTGAAGCCAAGTCAGTCCGCATGCCTAACCAGTGAGTGTTGTCGGCAGGTTCTCTCAACTTCCTCAATGACTCGCGGTGAACGGCCAGAGCAAAATTGCATCCCATGGAAATTTGTTGGGTGAGGTCAAGTTGGGTGGCCGAAGTGGGCAAAGTGAACCAATCTAGGGATCCATGACAATGCACCACAGTCCACACAGTGTCCAGAATTGAGGTTTGTAGAATTTGCTGAGCTTCTATGCCTCTGCCGGACTCTGGCTCACAGCTTGAATTCCTCCGTTGCATTGCGATTGCTGCATAGACTTGGAAGATTAGGATCTCACTAATTCACTAGGATGTTCAGCCTTCGTTAGACACGATTGAAAGCAGCACTGACACGATACTTCTTCTCAGATTTCATAAATGTACTACTGTATTGCACCCTGAAGCAGCGAAGCTTGGCCGCGATGATGTCGGGAACCCAGATTCCATCTCAACACGGTGGGAGCCCCATGTCAGGCATGTCGGGCTCCCCAAAAATTACTATATTCTTTCTAATAGCTTCTTGTTACTACTAGTAAGGCCCTTGCTCCTAGTAGCGATGCACTTGTTTCTACTAGCTTATTGTTTCTAATAGCTTCTTGTTACTACTAGTAAGGCCCTTGCTCCTAGTAGCGATGCACTTGTTCCTAGTAGCTTATTATATATAGAGCTTTGCTCCTTCAATTGTGTGAATTGTTCGAGCGAACGGCTTTCTAGTGTATCGCATGCCAATTGTGGTTTTGTGGTTGTACACGGTTCTGACACTTAGTTGATGTTTTCATTTGTTTTCACTTTTATAGAGACGCATTGGTGGCCATGAGCACATACACATGCATATTTACAGTAGACTCAGTAGACGATACAGTCTTAACAGTCAAGAATTTGTCCTGGTGCAGCTGAAAACAAGCGTTTCTTTCGATTGTATATCTATATGTGTATTTTAATAGGGAGAACCGGAGAACCCAATGGGTAGACTGGTCTATGTTCATTCTTCCAGGGGTTCGTTCGGTCTCCGGTCTCCCTAATTCAATAGGTCCGCAGTGTCCGTTGGCTTTGTCCGAGTTCTGGCGATATCATCGTGGACGACCCCATGTTGCTCCAAGGCATCGCCAGGAGGGGCGAGAGACCCAAGCGTTTGGGTGTGGTTTTCGGCATAGCTTAGCCTACGCGGTCGTAGCAGAATTGGGGTCAGTTGGGTGCCTAAAAGACTCAAGATACTCAATGCGGAGACAGATGACGAGGAATAACAGATGATTGACAACTGTTTCGCCCTTTCAAGCCAGTTTCTACCAAGCAGTCCACACGAAGGCCACCAGCCGCAAACAATGTAAGATTTTGAGGGCCACCGGAACCCTATTGCAGCAACGCCGGTTTGCTGCCTGGCCCACCAAAGACAAAGGTGTAAAAGGACGCGCTCCGCACAGGAGAAAGAGCCTGGAGATCATGGAGCACCTGGAGGTGAGACCGTGACAACGAAGCACGGCTGAAACAGGTCCTCCAGGTCCTAGGATCGGATTGCATACTTCTTGATAGCTGTCGTGGGGGTTAATTATATGCTTCCATTACGTATCAAAAGCAGACCAGGAGGGAAGGAGATGTGAAATCTCTGAATCAGATCGTGTGCTGACAAGTGTTGACCAGCAGTTGATGAGGATGGATTGTGATGTGAAACAGCAAAGCGTAGTGACTGGTGCTTGGCACTGGATTAAAGAATAGAGATGGAGGAGCCTGGATCAAAAGATCAGAGAAAGGTGTTTTGCTCCTCCGCCTTTGCTGTACTAAGTAATTTATGTACTTGTGCGGACAAGCCAGGGCACCTGGGAGGGTGACGGAGTTGGTGAGTATGCTCCCCATTTGTCCAAGTGCGGCACTCGGATGCAAGATTCATGCTATCACCATGCTATCACCTCCTTTTGGTCAGGTGTAGTGGATGGATATGGATGGATGGCTATGGGAGAAACGCAAAAGCTGTGTGCGGGGCCATTGGGCCAAGATGAACAAGAAACTACTGGTAACAAGGGCATCGCTACTAGGAGCAAGAAGCTACTAGTAGCTCCTGGCATTACTACTAGGAACAAGAAGCTACTAGTAATATGTTGGTTTTGCCTAAGACCTGTCGGCACGTCAGGTTTCCTTTCGAACACAAACTAGTCATTGAGAAGGCCAGGCTGGCACGTGATACTGTGATACCGTGTCCGCTCCTTGGAATTGTTTGAGAATAGGGTCAGAACTTTGCCAGAACCAATCTGAAGGGAACAATATACAATTAAAAGCATCAATACATCACATAAATGAATACATATATACATATATACACATACATAAACGATTCATTCCAGTCGCAACGATTTTTAGGACATCATCAAGATGTCCACTACGAGCAGTTCTTTGGGAAGCTATGCATGTGGACTAGTTTCTTGACCTGCCCGCAGGCGGTCCCGCACAACAGCCGAAAGTTGCATTGGGCCTACAGGTGCAGTACATGAGTGTATAGAGTGAGAAATGGTATCCAACCGCAATGGCCTCCAACCTACTAGCGATGGCCACCAACCTACAACTTGGGAATTGGATTGACTGAGATGATATTGATCCTAGATTCATGAGAGAGATGATGAGGATTTAGAAGCAAGCGACCAACATGGCCATGGATTTGCAATGGATGCTCATGAGCGATACATACATATCATATTGTTGTGTTGTTTTACTTTAGTTTGCAAACTCCTGCACTTAATAGTATGTCGTTGAAGATGTCCTTCAGAATTCATGGATTTCTTGGAATACCGAGTACCCCTGAGCAGGTCCATTGCGAAACACAAAGAGACCAAAGAGGGCTTGCCTTGGGCCAAGTGAGCAAGAGCGACGGAATCTGGACAACAAGGACACTCAATCCAAACATAGGTTATTTCGTGCCCCTGAACATGTTTCTGTTGTTTTGTGTCCTTCACAAGGCAGCAACATTTAAGGAAGGAGATTCCACACGGCATCCAGTCAGCGATTAACCTTGCAACCCCTTTTGGGAGTTTGCTCCCTACGAAAGGGTTCTCGGGGCGAGTCAGAAAGAACAGAAGCTGTGTGTCCAGGTTTTCTGCCAGGGTGCACTTTGGTGTTTAACAAGTGCCTTACTAGTAGTAACAAGAAGCTACTAGGAACAAGTGCATCGCTTCTAGCAACAAGTGCCTTACTAGTAGTAACAAGGGTGCACTTTGGTGTAGATTCATTTCACCTTTTTTTTTCTGAGCTTTTCTTAAGCAGGGCTTCAGTGCGATGTCTCCGGAGGCGTTTTTTTGCCATATCTAAGGCATATGGAGACTGGCTTCCTTCGCTTCTTTCCAGAAGCCATTGCCAGAAGCTGAGACGAGAACGATCCAGTCTCAGAAGCTCGGTACCCCTGTTCTGCAGATTCGGGAAAGTTGGATGGTTGTAGTTTGATCTATTGGATGATTTATTTGTATAGGCCTGGATTTGGGGTGTTGATGTGCTTAGTTTGCGGGACTTTGGAGAGCAGTTTGGCTGCACTCATTTTGTTGTGTCACCATTCTGATGCAACAAAAATCATCACATTGTCCGGACATGTTGCAGCACCTTGCAGCACTTGTAGCAACATTTCAGAGACAAAGGTTTGATTGAATTTCTCAGAACAGTGCTACTAGGAACGAGGACGCTACTAGGGGCTCCTGGCATCGCTACTAGGAGCAAGAAGCTACTAGGGGCAGTTGAGAGTTAGTTGCGACCCTTTCGTCATGTGAAGCTCTGAAGTCCGACCATGCAACGCCCACCACCATGGTGAGCCAATAGTTTCACTAGGTTTCACTCAGTTCTTCTCTTGTTCCAAGTTCTTTCAATCTCTTCCATATAAATCCCCGTAAGATCCTTTCAGTGCGATCACTGTTTGAGAAGTAGCATCCATTCGTTTGTTTTGGTGCTTGTCCATGCGAAGAGCCAAGCTGATGCGTGCAGCTTTCCACAGGGCTAAAAGTGTGGCGCCAGTGGCGCTGGGAGCTGTCGGTTTGTCCTTTCAAGGATTCAGTCTTTTTGCGGAGAACGTCAAGGCTGCACAAAACAGCCATGATGCACTTTGGGATCCAAGCTGGGTAGAAACCCACGGCGAGAAGACCATTGCCAAGCGTTTGGCAGGCCCCAAGGATTTACCGTTGAAGCTTTACACGTCCTGGTTTTGCGCGTTTGCGCAAAGAGCCTGGATTGCAGTGGAAGAAAAGCAACTGGAGTACTCCTACGTGGAAATCAACCCATATGAGGTGGATCCTCGATTTCCAGGAGGCTACACGAAGAAGCCGCTCCCACTGGAAGTCAAGAAGGCCATGTACCCAGATTTCATCGCCAGCAGCCCTAACGGCTTGGTGCCCTCTGTGGACTGCAACGGTGACAAGGTCTGGGAGTCGCTCCATGTGGTCCAATACATCGACGAGCGCTTCGATCATCCTCCCTACTTTCTGCCTCGCGAACCAGTGAAGCGAGCTCACGTGCGCATTTGGTCTGACTTTGTGACTGATAAAATTTGCAAATATTTCTACGTGCACTGGCTGGAGAAAGATCCAGCGGCCCAGTTGAAAGCAAAAGAAGTCTTTTTCGAGGAATGTCGAACCTTTGCCAGAGCAATGAGCAAGGATGGACCGTATTTTCTCGGAAGTGAGATCTCGATGGTGGACATCGCCCTTTTTCCCTTTTGGCAGCGATTTCTTTGGATTGGTCATCACTACCGAGACCTTGAGATGCCCAAGGACAAAGACTTTGAGCGCTTGCAGAGATGGTGGGAAGCGGCACGTGATCGTCCTGCTTTCAAGGCAACCTTGGTTTGTGCAGACAGATTGGTGGCCAGAGAGTGCCGCTGGCTCGACTTCCTGACAAACAGCCAGCAGTAATTGGCCGTTTCAGATCAGGTTTGCCACTCCAACATACTTGGAGTAGGAGAAGTTGCTGAGACTAGAAATCACCTCCGAAAGTAGGAGGACTTTCTTCAATCATTGAAGTTCTTCCGAATCGAAAGAACTTTACATCTTGTAGCCAAAGGGGCAGCAAAACTTGGGGGTGTTGTTGGGTCTATCGACTGGGGCATCGGTGGTCGCTAGACCGGAGCTGCCTGTGGCCTTCCTGGCTGAGGACCATGGGAAGTTGGAGATGACATGTGCCAAGCTCAAATTGGAACTGCAGAGGAAGGCTGCATGAAGGTGATGGTAATGGTGATGATGATGATGATGATGATGATGATGGTGGTGTGTTGTCAAGTCAAGCCCTTCTGGAGATTGCTTTGCAGAGAATCGCGGCTGGAGAGGCAGAGGGACCCTCACTGGACGCGGTCGAGACAGAAACTCAGTGGACAGACTGGACAGACAGTGCTATCTTTGGTTTGGCCTCAGTAGTGGGGTGGTGCGGCATGGGAACATATGATGGTTTTGGTGTGTGAACCCCTTCCAAGACACACGACCTTGGTATTCCAAGAAAGTGTTCGATGCAGCACAGTTGCACGTCCTTCCGCAGGAGCAACATAGATGATACGTATGATGATACATCATGATACTAATTAGGTAGTTGTTGATTCTTTTTGTGGTGGACTGACCGATCTTTCGTTCAAGCTAGGCACCTCCTCTAATGGCCTGTCAGAGGTGAATGAGGGGACCTACACGCAGGACCGAATAGGCTTTGTCAAAGCGAGAGGTGAACACCACCAAATGCCAACATTTGATGTTTCTTTGGTTTGGGGTGTTCCCGTGGCCATTCCAGCCATGCTTCTAAGGCGGCCAAATGTGAAGATCATCATGACCACTTCAGAGTCCTGAGTGTGTTGACAGTGTTGAGTATACCTCCTTGTCCAGGACTCTTTTGATGTATGGACGAGATACAATGGCTGGAGGGCCCAGGGAAGCAGCCTGTGAGTGGCTGAGAGCGACGCTGTTGAGCAGTTGTGAACTTATCAGGGTCCACTACAACCATGTTGGTTCATTGATCAAGTAGGGGGTGTTTGCTGACGTCATCATGAACTTCGCTTCAAGAGTGCATTCTTTGAGTGTGCCTGAGGCATCACACGGGCTCAAAATGCCACACGGCCCTATGCAGGGGCTCTCATTTTGAAAGTCGTCACTAAGGATTTGGCTGCAACATGTTAGACACCTGTGAGGTGGCCAAATCATTGTCGGATACACCTGACAGGAATATTTTTTGGGGAACTTGTCGATTGATTTGTTGTTTACTGTTTGCTTTCAAGAGAACTATATAACCCATGTCTTTGTGCTGTGCTATTCCCGACCACGCAACGGGCTTCAGCAGACATTGATGGGCAATGTTATGTTCCTACTGTGGGCATTTAACAGCTGCATTTTTGTTGGTCCGTGGTTTTTCACAAGTGCATCGCTACTAGTAGCTAGGGCATCGCTACTTAGTAAAGAAGGGCATTCCTACTAATTAGTTTGGTGAATGAACACCTGTGTCGGTGAGCGACTGCGGAGGTCACGGAGGTCCGGCGGATTTGCGAGCTGCGGCCGTCGAGCGAGCCCTTGAGCATGGAGTGCGCCTGGAGTGAGCCGTTTGTGCAGAGGACGTTGGACTCAAAAGATGTGAGATGCCACTAAGACACATAGAGCTATGCCATAAGGTATCGGTCAATTTGGCATGCATTTAGAATGACATGTTCGCTAGTTTTTTTCTTCAGGGAGTGGGTTTGGAGCTTGCAGCAATTTGACCTACCCATGCCAGTGTGTAACCAGCCCTGAGAACTTGAAGTTTTCACAGTTAGCAAGTGTGGCTCAATCATTTCAAGAGCATTGTTGGCGAGGATCCGAACCAAGCACTAGAGAAAAAGGAGGTGAAAGGTCATCATTCCAATCTTTGTCGGCAATTTTATACACACAAGTACACACACAAGACAGTATATATACATATATATATATATCATATAAAATATGTTCTTACTTCTCAATGGTGTGGCTTTGGATCGGCGTTTCGTTTTGCCTGTGCTGGTGCTGGATTTGCGTTTTGTTTGGGCATGCTGGTGCCGGTGCTGGTGCTGGGTGCTGGCGCGGGTGCTGGTGCTGGATCGGCGTTTGCTTGGGGCGTGCTGGTGCGGGTGCGGGTGCGGGTGCGGGTGCGGGTGTTGCTGCTGCTGCTGATGCTGCTGGATCGGCGTTTTGTGTGGGCGTACTGGTGCTGGTGCTGGTCCCTGGCGTGATATGATTTGATCCCTGGCATGACATGATGCCGTCCCTGGCGTGACGCCATGTCATCACCACAAGGCAGTGGTAATTACATGCATCATGTGTCGGGCACCATAGGGGCGGATATCGTCCCTGCCCTGACAGATGTCATCCCTGGCATGACATGATATCATCCTTGGCAGGGTCAGTGAACAATGCCCTTGGCACCGCTTATTGACAACGAAAGCTCTTAGACACTGGGCTTCTTCCTCAGGCACTATGAGTTTTTCCCTTTACACCGGCTATTTGGGCTCTATGCCTGCAGTGAGAGTTTGTGCATCCTTCAGGATCAGTTTCACTCAGCCATTGGATTTCGAGACGCCAGGTATCGCGTGGAGATGGCGACGGAACGAACTGCTATGCAGCCGCACCTCCTCTCCCGTTTGAGGCGAAGTGTTTCTTAGTTCTCAATTGCTGTTATCGAGTGCCCACTGATCCTTTTCGTGCAGGAAGGTGCCCGAGCATTTGCAGATTGAGAGGTAGATCCAGCATATCCAGTAGGCACTGGGTAGCCGATCCATGACAGAGTGCTTAAGGAACTAATTGGACACCATGCAGTCTCGTTGGGTTGGCCCTCTAGGATGTCTTGAATCTATCTGAGTCTGATTTCCAGCTCAAGCACTCTGGCTGGATCTTGGGGTTGTGCCCCGCCCAAGCCGGGATGGCCGCGAAGAACGCGGGATGTCAGGCAACAAATTTCTCTAGGTTCTGGACATTTCAAGTTCCCTGACATTCCCTGACAATCTGGATCCTCAATCTTCCTTCTGGCAGCTATGGGCATCTTACAGGTCTGTCGGACCTTTGTCAGCCTTGTGTTTTCTTCTTTTCTTCGGTCAATCTCCGCAGAATGTTGGTTCATGGCTGTCCAATGCTGTCCATATGGCCATTGAGGCTCAAATCCGATTTGAGCCAGCCATGGAGCAATACAAACATGTCGTGTATGTGGGAGATGATGGGTTGCGACTCTTACCTGTGACGCTGTTGGACCGACTGCCCGGTCAGGAGCATCCAATTTCGAGACTCGCGGATTTGCCTCCCCCGACGTCGTCGTCGGAGGCTTCAGAGGACACCCAGAGTCGTGTGCAGTTGGAGTTTCATGGAGCTCTAAAGCTGGCCTCCAGCTCTGGCTCAGACTCTCCAGAGCCTTGGCCACGAACAATAGCATGTGACGTGTGTGCTTTGACAGAGGGTGATTGCGTGCCATGCGGACTTAGCGAATCTTAAGATGTGTTTCTAGTTCCTGAAAATCGTGTGCACTGTAAGCAACATATTTATACCTGTTTTTATTCATAAGAGTGGCATTGTGTTGGAGATTGCTTCCGGCAAAAAATCCTCATTGGATCATCGACTTCCCACAAGACCTTTGAAGCTTCGTGGTGGAGACATGTCGCAGACCGGGGTGTCGATCATAATGTGGAGGAAACTTGGACTCGTCCTCTAGGTAGATGTTTGGGCTGGACTGTGAAGACTCCATACAGCATGATTCCAATACAAGTATGCCTTTCGTAGATCCGCACCTGCCACACTTGCCATTTGTGTAGGCTCTTGTGTTCTAAATCGATTTGCAGGCTGTTTCTTGCAGCTCAAGCCTGGTTGAAACTGCGGAGTCATGTCGATGTGAGTCGCATGATACGGTGGAGTTTTGAGAAACATCACCTCATCACAACGTTTTGAGCTGAATCCTTTCGTGTGTTCAGCACGTGTTGGGACGAGGATGCTGAATCTGATCGCCGGGAGCCGGATGAAATGGTGCACTGTTCCAACGAAGGGCCACTCCGATGAGAGGAGACAGAAATGGGATTGGTATGGATTGGTTTTCGGCAGCTGGAGAGTGATTCCATAATCACAGGATGACAGGATGATTACTATATTCTTCTCTCGTGCAAGACTTTAATAGAATTGGTGTTGTAGTAGTGGATGATGGTTGTGCACCACTTACATCATCTTATATCCGCTTACATGCTCTGAGTGTTTGTTCAAGTTTACTCCAAAGTGCAGATGTGTTGGATGTTCAAACAGAAGTGAGAGGGGTATGAGGGGTTAAGCATTCGAAATGCTTACGCGTCGGGTCTGAAACAAAACATATCTACCGAGAACGAAATAGCTATGATATGCTATGACCAGCCATGCGTTGCGCACAATTCTGATAGTCGTTTCGATGGACTTGAAGATAGCCTTGTGGACCTTTGAAGGCCACATGAGAGACATCTCGCAGGGTTTTCTGTGATACAGCCTTGGAATGGTGTCTCATCCCCAAACTGCCACACAACAGTTTGGAATGGTGGCAACAAGAGTCAACGACTTTGGTGTTGTATGAATCGTGGCATCAACAATGTGTTGGTTGTGAAGTCTATTATGGATTTGGCATGTTGCACCGCTACAGTCCAGAGCCGAATCTGAATCGGCTCCCTCAAAGAGTCACTCAGGAACCCTGTCCCGTGTCATGTTGCATTGCCATCAACTGAACTTTCTTCATTTTGTTCTGGAGACTCTTGACGCACGGACAAAGCCAGACAGGCCAGACAGCTGGCCTTCAATGACTGGCAGTACAGCGACCAAAGCCGATGGTTCGAGTAGTGGAACTCGCCATGCTGAGTCCAGAGACTTGGAGAAACATGGGCAACGCGTGCTCTTCTTTGGGCCATCCTTACTTAAATAAGTGGGCACCTGCTTACTACTTAAGCTTCTAGTAACTGGATGCAGGATAGCTCACTCTAATGACTTGATTCCTAGATGTTTTGGGAAACTTAAATTTTGATGAAAGACACTAATGGAGTTCACGGTCATTGATGGGCCCGCCTTTGATGGGGTTTTGTTAATTTGTTGTTTTTCTGATACGTATGTTTTAATGGGATGCCTCTCCGTTCCTCAATTTGCCGTTCAGCGGCCACTTCTCACTGGAAGAGTACTGTAATTAATAGTAAATATTATATAGCAACTTTCATCATCATGACCCGCTCACCGGAATACAGCCAAAGCACAACCGGGGAGAATCCTTGAAATAAGAAACACTGTAAGCACCCTGAAAGAAAACAGAAAGGGCTGAGAGGAATCCACCAGGCCAGAATCGCAGACAAATGCCGGCTTCTGCAGCTCAGCGCCTTGAGGTAAGTCATCGGATTCCAAATCTTCTGATTCGGAATTTCGATATCAGCCTTGCCTTCCTGCAGTGTCGAGCGAGGATGAGAAACTTGACTAGAATGATGGGAGATGGCGGGAGGTTGGAAATGAATCTTGCAGAAAAAACCTACCAATTATTCAACCATGCCATTATACTTATTATGTACAGGATATATATATATACACATGACAAAGACATACAAGGACCCTCTTCCTGGCAACTGGATAGTAATTATCTAGGAGAAAGTTGTCTCAAGTTCAAAGCGGTTCGGCTGAGGAAAGCTTCTGAGAATGATCGGAAGGAGCGCAAGGAAGGCCTTGGCCTGGCTGCTGCTTGGACCGCTCATGCACAGGGTACTTGTCGATCATGTCGTTTCTTTCACTTGAAGCAAGGAGGCCGGGCCCGCTGGGCTGGGCTTTGGTCGTGGAGCCCCGAAAAACAACCCCGGCAATTCCTGATATGTTCAATTTTCAGAGAAGTCGCATGTATTCCTGCCTTCCTCTGGCAGTCTAACATAGTCTAACACAAGCATGCATTATAACACATTATGTATTAACTATATATGTATAACTAAGGAACTCTGGTCAGCAAACTGAAGCAACAACAAGTGCGATGTGTCATTTGAGCAGGTCTGAGCTGTTCCAAGAACAATCGCTGTTTGGGCAACGTTTTCACCTGCCGAGTTGATTCAGCTGTCACGATACATCAGACATGCAATGGACACGTGGTAAACGAGGCTGATGCCGACCTGCCAACCTGCAACATCCCGCAACTGTTTATTTTTTGTTTATCCTGTACAAACCACTTTAAAAACCATATCCTTTACGCACCATGTGTTGGCATCCACTGCAACAAGAAGGATGTGTTCAACTGATTTTGCTCCCGGGTTGCCCCGTCGGTCATGCCGGTCATCGAAAATGCCGGAGACCAGGCTGCCGGGATGGAGACGCGTGCCGATTCTGCCACTTCTGCAGCAAGGACAGGAGGAGGGAGAGAGTACTCGGTTGCTGTATACATATATACACGATTATAGGTGCACAATGGTGCACATATGTACATATATATATACTATATACATAAATATTTATATTTATACACACATATGTGTGTTTTTAAGCCAAAAGTCGACCCAGCACACTGTTGGGGTGGCTTGCATGTTGTAGGGCCCTCTTCTTGGTGACTTGCATGTTGTATCTTGATTCAAGAATTGCTTGGAAATCGACCCACTGCATGAAGTTCTCCGATGGTCAAGTTTGAAGGAACAAGCAAAGGCCGAGCTCCTGCGAAACAAGAATGCAGAGCGTCGGATCAAAAGACGCTTGCGCAACACATGAGAGGGGCTGTACAGAAGTTGGTGGCCCCCGTTGACATGATCGCTGCAATTGGCTGCTCATCCAGCGGTTTGGTTGATGTGTGAGCCCGAAGCTACTTGAGCCTTTTGAGGCGACCCCTTCCTGCACCAATCTCAAGGGCCGCATAGTGTGCCAGCTTAACTTAGCAACACAACAAGGTCCGAGCTAGCATATGACAAGTCATCAAGTCAGACATATGTTTACGAGCTTGACATACCAGAAAATGGTTTTAAAATGCGAACAAGTGGGAATCCTCATGTTTCTCATTACAAAACCAGTCCAGAAGGGATCCTCCGGTCCTATCCTCATGAACGGCATGTTGACTGCAAATGTCTCGAATGTCAGAATTGGGATTGATACCTGTCAGCTCTATTACCCATGGGCTCATTTTTTGACAGTATCCATGCAGCATACTACTGAGCGAGTTAGTTGTGGGCCACCAACAATATTGTATATATCCAACACCGGGCGCGGTTTGCCCTGCAATTGATAAGTCACTGTGCGCGAGCAAACAGGGCAGCCATGACCTTGCCATGTGATGCACGTAGGTTGCAAGTTGTCACCACCATTCTTCACAATGCTCCTATGTTTGACATTCCTGATGTTGGAGCGACTTGCTTTGGATCTTTTTGGAAAGCCAAGCTGTGTAGCAAAGGGCAAAGGGTGTGGCTGAACATCCATCTCCGTTGGTCCGAAGGCATCCGGAGACCACCGGGCCCAGGTTGTCCAGCCAGGTTTCGGTGGAGAACACTTTATTGCTCGAAAACGTGCGCTGAATCAAAACGTGCAGCTGCAAACGCAGAATCCTGGATCCAAACTCGTTGGCGCAACGAGTCAGAGATGCTGTAGAGAAGTTGGTGGTCCGCTCAAGCTCATTCAACAGAGTCAATGCCAGCATTGGGCGAGTTCCAGCGGGCCACCAACACGATTGAATACTGGGCGCGGTTTGCCCTGCATTGACAATTCAACTTGCAGCAACTACAGCGGTCACGACTTTGCCACCTATAAACAGGTACATGACAAGGTTCACAGTACCTCTATCTCGGCCAATTTTGGATTCTCCTGATTTGTTTGACAGCTCCAAACTGCGTGGCAAAGCATCCACGAAACTCATGGATGATGGTGGACATGTGCTCGAACTCTCCATCTCTGTAGGCCCGAAGGCATCCGGAGACAGGCACCGAGCTAAGATGGCCAAGCCCGCTTTCTTTTTGTGTGAACGCGTGCAAAGCGGTGTTGGAACACGTCCAACAGACATTGTGCGGTTTTGGCTGGTTTATTAGCACAAAATGGGATGTGGATTTTCTCGTAGATGCGCTTTAAATGGAACTTCCACAGATTCAATGATCGCAATTCAGACATTCGGCAGCCTTCAAGTATCTTCAAATCCTCAACGTGGTCTTGACGACAACTCTGTTTGAATGAATCACGGGTAACTTGTTATAGGCAAAGAGCTTACTGTATATAAATTCAATTGTGGTCAGTGGTCTAATGTTGGGCAACATGTCCTTCTTCAATGTTTTTGTGTCAATAGTACAGTATACAGTATATAGTATACAGTATTCATGAATAATTCCTCAATAGGTTTGGCATGGTTTGATTAACTGGATCAAACATGCGGATGTACATCGAGGTATGCGAGCAACAAGAGTGGAACAAATTCTGAAAGCAACAAGAATGTCCATTACAGTATACTCGAAGACGAAGGATCAGAGCGATAGGCTTTCCGAAACTGTTGGCCTTTGGATCATTCTGAGATCTGCCAATGTGTTGTCTCGTTAAACGTTCAACTCCAATTGAGATATTCAACGATCCCAGCTTTAGCCAACATTTCACTTATGATTCGTCAAAGTTTGCGACGTGTGTCAACTTCCCCTGCGAATGGAAAGGCCACATCGTGGCTATCATAGTGCTCACTTTAGCCTTTAGCCGTTGTGTGCACTCCCCTCGCTGCCACAACATCCGGTAGATGGCAGTGGCAGCCCTTCGTTTCACAGACCAAATGTACAGGAGTACACCAGCTTTTGGCAGCAAGGTTGTGGTATGTTGTGGTTGGCCATTCATTTGCTGGGACTTACCAGGAACAGTTGAGTCTTACTAAGGGAAATGTTAGTGAGTTTTGGCCCGAGCCAATCATGTGCTGTGTTTCAAGGCTTTGGCAATGCAATTCGAAGGCAGGTATCAGCTGGAGAGGAGTGGCAATCTCCGAAATGCCTTTTGAGTCCATTTGCCGAAGATGTGGATCAGATTTACGACTGACATTCTGCAAGACACCCCACACCGCACGAGCTACTGACTACGGGACATTATATAGCAATCACATGCGGACAAAGATGATTCCATTCTAGGTTTTGGCAGAGTATCGAAACGCATTCAGATATACATCCAGTAGGGTGCTGTGCAGATTGTCAGTTGGCTCCACCAAGGTCGCATGGTGGAGAGGAGGATCTAAACAACCTCCGAAAAATGTTCAGGAAAAGCGTGTCCACAGTCCGAACTTAGTAGTGGCGAACTTAGTAGTGGTCGCATCGAACCCAACCAGGAAGCTGGGGACCATTCGAAAAACTTGCTCGTCATTGTATGATCCGATAAAAATCTATGAAACATGCTTCAAGAGGATGACACGTGTCAATTTGACCCTCAGCGCCTCATGGCCAACTGTCTAGGCACCTCAGAGACAGGGTCCCACGCAGACGAGGCTCAGCTCACCTAGAGCCGACTCTCACAGTGGCAGACTTTGTTGGTCAGTTCCTGTAGTGTAATATACTGTAATACTTTCGGCGCTCTCAGAGGTGCCAGTGGGAATGGAGCTGTTCAATAGATGGGAGGAGACCCATTCCAGCTTGGCATGCATATTGGATGGCCTTGGACAGGTGCAGGGTGGAACTTCCTTGACGTCCAAGACTAATTCAGAGTATCAATGCGTGTCGTTGGCACAGAACCTGCGGGACCGATGATGAAAGAACGCCACGGGCAGAGTGCAGAGTGGAGTTGACCGAGACACTGCACTGCATGTCAACATTTGAGAGCAGAGGTTGGTGGCCATCGCTGGGGTGGAGGCCATCGCTATTAGGTTGGAGGCCTTGCATGTCAACATTTGCTTGCAGGGCAGGCCGCTGTTTGCAACTCTGGATCTGCGTGACCTTGAGACGTTGGCCTCACTTTAGGCTGGCCTCAGCTGAGTAGCACACGAGCGAATTTAAGGGCACATGGGATTCAACAGAGCGCATCCAAATGCACATTCAACATGATTCAACATGTGTAAGCCCTTGTTTGATCATGCGGTATTTTACACAAGTGTGGTGCATGTGTGCAGACCTTTGGCTTTTCCCACCATGCTTTGTGAGTTTTCCCTCAACCAGTGTGTTTTGAGGTGCTAGGCTTGGGACCCTTGCATTTCGGGCTGAACCTAGTCCAACCCACTTGCGGCATGCATCCTTCCGTGCTTTGCAATGAGTCCTCCCGGATCCGTGAGGGCCCTGCAAGGAACGGCAGCAATTTGAATCGACATGAAACTCCATGGTTGGTTGGATGGTCTCGTATGGTTCAGGTCCTCCAAACAGTCAGCCTTTGCAGTGTGGGGAAAGATGGGTTAATTTGAAAGTCAGTGGATACGTCCAAACAGTGCGTTCCACTGTGGGCTCAAGGCACTCAACGCAAGCTGTTCTTTCTCAACTGGTTACATTAACTTAGTGTTTCTAATAGCAAACATTGTTACTACTAGCGTGGCACTTGTTCCTAGTAGCATATTGTGGATGATAGATTTTGATTTGCTTCGATTCTTTGTGCATGGAGCACCTGCTTGGAGTTGATGGTGCTGGGTTTGTTGCTGTCAGATTGCAAGCTGTCAGGTTTCGTGATCAGCATTTGCACTCTTTCTATATATGACCCGCTTGTACAGACCATCAGGTATCATCATTGTGGGGACAAGGAAATGACATGCACTGTCAAAATTAGCTCTGTCGCACCCACAAGTCATATCATTCAGGATGATTTACCTCAAACAAAAACTTCTGAAGCACTGCCGACCACCACTTGCTAGATCATACACTCTAGTGTGACCAGCCTCAGTACCCCTGCAAAAGCGGATGCAGATAGATGTAGTCCGCGCAAGGAACTTGTGTTGATTTCGTGTTGAACTTGAAATTGTGATTTTTGCGTCGGGAAGTTGTCCAGGTGAAGACAGAACCACTTTAGAACAGACAAGCACTTCTCTTTTGCGTCGTGGCCGTGTCCTACCTTTTCAGGAATTGGCCACATCCTTGGCGTTATGGCTGCTTGGCAATTAGCGATGTTGAGTACAGTAAACCTTCATGGTCATGAAACATTGAGCTTCCAATAGGCTTGGATTGGAAGGGGGTCTTTGCCCGATTGGTTCCAGTGGAGCCCAATGCATCAGAAAGGGATCACCTAGTCACTAGTCAACCCTTGGGTGTTCACGGTGTTCAATGAAGAATCAATCAACCTATCAGAGGCTCTTTGTGTGCCCAAAAGCCCTTCCACTTCAGGCTGGACATCGATTCGTGAGGCCGCTGGAGTGGATGCTTGCACACTGGTGGAGTTTATTTGCTGGTGCGAGTTCCCAAATGCCGGAAGATACTGGCACAAGAAGTGACAGTGATACTTGAGTGTGAAGAACTCCGAGTCAAGGTGTTAAAACATGTATTATGTCGATGTGAACTCGCTTGTCGAAAGCCATACAAGAATATACTATAATATATATATATATATGTGTGTATTGTATTTGTCTAGTTACTATAGTTGAAAACAAGGTCAACTGACCGGGAATCACACTGCATGAGAGGACCTTGGGAGCCCCACATCTACGATAGTGTGATAATGGTAAAGTGCTTTGGAATCATCACGAGGGCAGAATGATAGCACATGTCATGCAAAGGAACGCTCTCGCATCATTTTGTATCACCTACCTACCTCACGTGAGCCCCACAAGCGAAAGGAGTGGCTCCAAAATCTCAAAAAGGAGTGGCTTTCTTGATGCTCAGCACGTGGGAACAATCTGCAACAAGTCAGCTGTCATTGCCGCAGTCATGCTACAAAGATACATTCCAAGTGTTTTTGTTTGTGACTGGATCATGATCCAAGCCCTTTTCTCTGGGAATTCCAGGATTCCGGCTTCGGAGGCGGGTCGGGTTTGGTCGGGCTGTCGGTAGGCGCTCGAGAGCTTCCTGGAGAACTCGGCGGACTTCTTCCGGCAGCTGAGCGTCCGTCGGCCGGGAGACACAGGCTGGGAAGACGAAGCAGGAGTTGATCACAGTTGGTGGCTTGACAATCATGTGGTGCAGTAATGCATACACCCGATCAATCACCCCCCCCCTTCAAGGTCAACAAGGTCAACAAGTGTTGAAAGTGAAGGTATTGGAGACCACATCCCCCCTAATAAAGATGATGACCTGATGATGGATGATGAGATGATGACCTGGATGTGATGATGGATGATGGTTGATGGGATACTGCCCAAAAATAAAGAACATAGTATAAAAAACATACTTACAAAACTAATTATATAAGACTTCTTTTTTTCTGGGGGAGCTGGGCTTGATTAATAGGGGGAGGTTTCTGCTAGGAAAGATATATTATATAGGGTGATGTACACGTGGAATTCAGGTTTTAAATTAGTTTAGTATTGAAGGCTCCAGCTCGGCTTGATTAAGAAGGGGTGGTTACTTAATCCCGTGTGCGCATTACTCAGCAGACACTGATTTGTTAAGCTTCACATGGCTGTTCCGTGTTGTCTTGCTCTAGATTGACTCGGGTGTTTTAGATTGAGTCGGGGGTTACAGCATTGCAGATGTTTATTGCCTTTGGGACACACTGCTGTTACAATAGGTTACTGAATTACTTTTGGCGAAATGATATATATATATATACATACTTCAAACACATTCCAACTTCCCTGCAAAGTATGAAGAAGTGCTTCGGTAAGACTACCACAACAGACTCTTTTGAGCCGTGTTCATGAAATGATGTATGTAGTCCAAACGGGGAAGTCCAGAGTGCATGATCCAGCTTTCTTTTGGCTGCTTCAAGCCAAGCAAAGTGAAGACGAACTGGGGAACCTTTGTCAGCACTGGCATATGAATGGATAACCTTGAAGCACTGGATGTCAGAGTACAGCCTTGGTTTGTTTCACTATGCCCCTCAGATATGATGCCTTTATATTGCTTCAGCACCACCTTTTGCAAACGGATGACCAAGTCTGTCGGTTGATCCTCCAGTCTCTTTGACCCTGCTGTACTGTTTGTGTTCTTGCATGAAAGAAATAGTCCGTCAATGGCCTTCCTGGTTTCTTCTAAGCTTTCAACTGTTTAACTGTCAAATGACGGCAGCTCGATGACTGGAGCTTCACAGAAACAGAGCGATGTCTAATTGTCCCAGTAGGTTTTGATGTTGGAACAATCCACTGCCCACTATGTGAACCAAGACCTTCGTACTTATCATGGTCAGGACTCAACAGGCCTTTGGGTTGGGCACACGATTCAACGAACATATCAAGGTTTTCCAAACTGGAAAGACGTCTCAATCTTTGTACAGATACATTTGGTGTAAAAGGCTGGAGCTATCTCAAGTTTGGGTTCCCGCATGATACGCACTACATGCGGATTTTAGCCATGCTGACCCTTCGTTCACGCACACAACTTCTTGGCGCGAAGTGTGGGTAGATTTAACTCGGAAAGACTCAGAGACTGGTAATGGACAAAAGGATGAGAAAGGAGACATGAGGAATAAACAAGAGAGGCAAATAGCAGCTAGTCTGCACATCACGCGTGTATTCTAACATATTGATCCAGTTCTGGCAAGTGTCATGCGTTATTGAGCACCCGTCCGTCGTCCGTATGCCAAGGCACTTCAAATGGCTTTTGTCCTGGTTCTCCACTACCGCGCACACCAGCATATGGCTCAGCGGCTGTCCTCTAGGACGGGACCCTTGTTAAGGCACCCTCACCCTCCTAAGTCGAACCGCAATGTTGGATTCCAACACTATCAAAGATGGTGGGAGAACCATGTTCATCCATTTTTGATCAAGAAACTGGGCATCTCAGATGGGGAATCTCTCAGATGGAAGCTGGGCAACGACAATAGTACTGTAATTCTTGGATGACCCATGACAGATGTTGGGATGTGTGGAAACCAGCCACTTTGTGTCCGTCGCCGATCTTTGTTTTGATGAGACCTGACTGGATACTCCCATTGCACAAGACAGGGAACACGAAACGCAGAGTCTTTGGCCTGTGGGCATGCGTGGAGAGCGTGAGGCAATGTGCGTAGTCTTTGTTCTTTTCTTGCATTGTATTGCTCTGCTAGATATTATAAGCACACAGGCACAGAAACGCTGTGACCTAAATGTGGGCTAGTGGACTACAGTTTAGTTTACCAATCCTTCGGCGATAGACACAGGGAGTGAACATGGTTTTACCCCTTGAATCGCACCCATCAAACACAGCTTTGATTCAAGACCGATCTCACATCCGGAACCTGCGAGATTCACAAGTGAAGACATCCAAATCTTCATAATCCTCCGTTATGTAGCAAGAAGCTAGTAGTAACAAGGGTATCCCTACTAGAAACAAAGGGCATTACTACTAGTAGCAAGAAGCTACTAGGTTGGAGGCCATCGCTACTAGGGTGGAGGCCATCGCTACTAGGGTGGAGGCCATTACTACTAGTAGCAAGAAGCTACTAGGTTTCAGTTTCAGACAGGAGTCTTGGCCTTGCGCCTCTTCACCGTGTTGATCTCCAATGATGCCGACCGGTGCATCCAGATGCGAGATGCCCGAATGGGGTCACCCGGCGATTGCGCTCTTGTGTGCCTTTGAAGCGTATGTCGTAGTATGTTTTTAAGTGAGGACTGAGGACCATCAAATCAAGGCCCTGAGTAGTACCGCCTCTTGAAACCGAGCGTGGGTCTCTGAGCCGGCGTGTCCCAGATCAACTTTGGAATTCATGACTTCATGTCTTACAAACCTTACAAACGACGTCGATGTCCTTCGGTCTTGGACTAGACTAGACTACCTTTATACTGGACGTTGTGCTTTTCGAAGCATGACAGGCTATACTATAGAGACCAGGTATTGGCTTTGGCACCCCAATTTGGAGATGAGCGATGTGCCAAGGTTAGACTTAATGCATGTGCCCTTGGCGGACGTCGTCGAGTCTGGTTGGCCGGTCTTCCGCATCCTGGCGCATTTGGCCGAGGAGCAGAGCGCGCGGAGTGCGGAGCGTGAGTGCGCTTGCGGGTCTCAGAGTCTGTTGAGCCTGCGGTGGGGCGATCTCCGAATATCTCCTATCCTTGGATATCCTTGGAGGGTCTTTCTGGTTTTGTTTGATTTGAAGTACCAAGCCTGTTGCCAGTGTGCAGGAGTCCCGGCGAATCAGCTACCCTTTGGAGAATGCTTGCGATGAGCTGGATAGCCTATCCGCGAGGAGTAGTGTGGATTATACACTTGAGATATGTTGAGATTTGAGATATTTTCTGCCGCACATGGGCACTATCGCCACTTCCACCTCCTGTATTCTTTTGGTTCACCTTCACGACTCCAACTTCTTGGTTTTTCTGTTTGCTTGCACCCTGCAGGGCTTTTCGGGATCGTGTGTTGCGACCATCGCTACATGAACACCGTGCAGTGCCCTGGGAGCTGGAGTTTGCACGGTGTTCCACATGTCGCAGACATGAGTGGTTTTGGCAACCACTTTGGGGTGAAGGAAAAAGGCTCTTGCAAAATTGTCTAATTTACTACTGTAAATGTTAACACCTTTGGCCCTTTTGGTTATAAAGCAATTGCTGGTCTGCATATGTGAGGTAAAGCACCTTAGCCAGGTCCAGAAGCAGCTTCAAGGCCACAGAATCCACACAAAGAAACAATGCTCCTATTCACATGGCAGCTGGGAATGGCCACCTACAAGTGCTGCGACTTGCTTGAAGCAGAAGCTCACCTGAGTGATGCAAAGAGTGGGCGGCGCAACAGTATTGCATTGCGGTTCCCGACAAAGATTCCAGTCATTGATCGATAACCACATCGATAACGAAACGATAATCGTTTGTTGCACAAAGGCTGCCGTAGTGGTCACCTCCCCACTTAGGTCACGAACATTGATGCCACAAATTCGTGTGGGCCATATGGAAGACAGGTTGGCAACATCCCGCTTGGCAAAGCAGTCAGTGCATCAGTACTGACAAACATGTTTGACAATGAAGTTTCATTCTACAAAGGCACGCGTCCCACTGGTAACTGCTAGAGAGGGGCTGCTTCCTTTGACAAGAGCTGCCTTTCGGCTGCTTCTCAGCTTTCGTGTTGACATAACCTTTGCCCGCATGTCAAAATCTGCGAGGGATGTTCAAACCATTCAGAATCCTGTAAAACGATATAGCGAGCTACAAAAAATCGATAACCGCGTACAGAAGACCCGTAGTTTGCTCACTTGAAGACTTGAAGGTGGTGCAAATGCTGGTGGAAGACGCAATGACGACATGCAACGGCTGATTGTGACACAGCATTGCAGCTCAAAAGTTTACATGGCAATGTCAAAGTCAAAGCGGTGCAGCTTCTTCTCCAGACTTCACAACTGACCAGGATCAGTGCAATTGTTGCTCAAGGCTGTCGCCGAACAGAAAGAGCAGGGCCCAATGGCTAATGGTGTCGAATGGTGTGGCAGCCTTATGTGAAGCCGCGAAGTTGCTGGTAGATGCTGTCCCAGGCAAAATTCAACATCAGATGGCCAACCACTGCAATGTGCAAATCAAAAGTACTGGCGGTTGTTAAGCCGGCATACTGCATTTTTCAGCTTTTCTGGGAGTCACAACTCGTTGGAAAAAACTACTGTGTAGAAAGGGGCACCTTCAGTTCAGCTCAAAAGAGTGGATTGTTGGTCGAGTCAGGCGCCAAGAACGGGTGTTATGGCGACTACTTGCTGCTGAGATCCGGAACCGAACATCATTGTTACATTGGTGGCACACTCGGCACTATTCGGTAGCCAACAAAGCTAGGCGGCCTTAAGAGAGGCAGGTGGAGGTGATTCCGACTCTGACCTTTGAGTGATGGTTTCATGGCTTCGTCAGTTTCCTAAATGATGGATAACTAGGATTAATCCTGAATCCATGGTTAGGGTTGTAGCAGGTTGGAACAGATTTATTGTGATTTCATGACAACACTAGTTCCCTCTCTTGAAACATGTGGGTTCCGAGTGAGGTTTGGCCCTAGACCCATGGAGAAAATAGCATCTATATAGATGGCATCTAGCTGATCTAGTGAAGTTGGTTTTGGTTGGTTTTGGATTCGATGTTTTCATGTGTTTTTCGGTGGGTTTGCCATTGAACGAGTCACATGACCGTGAAGCGTGCTTGCTTGCCAGGTACCGGTTTCCGAGGCTTGGATCTACCTCAAAGAGTCGCTTGGCCTGGAGCCAATGGGATCTGATTGAATCCCACAGGATTTGAAGTCGCAAAATTTGGAGTGAAATCAAGGCCACTCATGGCTTTGTTGCTTGACGGGTCCTTATTTGATCACAATGTTGCCCAGTGATGTTATTTTGTCAATGCGTCAAAAACATCTATGTCCAGCTCTGCATATTCCACACCGTTCATGCCAGTTCATGCCATGAAAACGCTGGCCTCGCCTAGGCCTCCACCACGTTGCGCAATTGGAGTGGCCACGGCGTACTTCACCTTGGCTGCGCAGCACAGCAAGGTGAGACAGAGACGATAAGTGAAGAACTCACAACAAACTCATGGAGCAAGGTGGTTCAACCATGTTCAAGATTGGCTCCTCATGGCGTGAGGATGCATGAGGTTTTTCTCTGTCACAGACACCACAGACACCTCTTTAGCTACGGGATTCCGAGCAACGAGGCTGAGCCAGAGAAGCGTGCCTTGCTCGAGCGAGGTCGGGGGACTGGGGACAATCCCCACCCCACCATGTGGTGGGACCATGGCACATGTTAAAACTAACCTGTTGTGTAGATTTGGTATCAACTCTTTGTTTACTGTAAGTAAAGGTGTCCTTGTGTCACAGTGAGAGACTTGCATTGCGCTATAAGCTATAGGTTTGCATTTAGGGGGTGAATTGATATTAAATTGCAATACGGTCGTCAGGCACATTCAACAGACCAGCGCGAGAACCCCAAAGTAGAAAGTCGGAAAGAGGAGGGATTGATCATGGTGAACTACTGGATCTGCGATCGAGCGAAGAGGCTCAATACACAGACTTTAAGGGTATCTAACCTTGACGATACTAGGGACAGGCCATGGGCTGATCCGAGCCTTTGTTTTAGTGCAGCACGTGAACACTGTAAACATCCATAACCTCCAAACATTGGAGGTCCACCTCATTGTTCTTTACCGAGAATGTGTTTTCATGCTAAGAGAGTCGTGGGAAGCATTGTTGGAGTTTGGGATACACTCAGCCATAATGTTAGGACTCAGCTGAGGGTCGTGAAACCTTGCTGTACTGATACCGGTGTTGCAAGAATGCAGCAATCAGCGCAATTCTAGAGCAGTCCTAGCCAGATTCAGAATCCAATAATGCCTGCTAAAGCTAAAGCTGACATGCAATCCATTGCAATCCTTACATATCCTTACAACGCTTACAAGAGCTGTTGGTCTAGGAGTTGGATGTTGAACATTGTTGAACTGCATGTGTTTTTTCTAGATTCTAGTGATCCATGTGAATTTCCAGCCCGCTCAATTACACAGAAGGAAGCACGGCATCCGAAAATAACACCGTGGAGGAACGTCGGTTTCAGAGGTTCGTGTTCAGGGAGTTTTCAGGGTACTAGTAACTCGAGAAATCTTCATCCATCCTGTGATTCGGCTCAATTCAGGGGGAGAATTCCGATCCGACAGGTCAAGAAATGCTGCTGGAGTGGCCCTCGCCAAGAGCTGAGCACTCTTACGACCATGGTAGATGGCTGATCATAGATGATCATAGTGCCAAAATGTGCCAAACATAATTGAGTATTGTTGGTTGAACAACATGAAGCCCCATTGCTGTACGCCTAACTAGAGGATGCAGCTGGTATCCCAACGAGCCCGTGGCGAGCCTGATATTCTTGTGCACCTACTAGCAATGGCCTCCAACCTAATAGCGATGGCCTCCACCCTAATAGCGATGGCCTCCACCTAGTAGCTTCTAACGCATCGTCGCATCGTATAGCTTCTTGTTACTAGTAAGGCCAGGAGCCCCAGTAGCGATGCCCTTTGCTCCTGATCCGAATGCACCTCTTAAGCACTTGCCACGCCCAGGTTGCAACGATCTCTTTACGCGTTGCTCACTACCCGGTGGCCGTTTTGGCGAGCGCTGGACCGGAACATGCGGCCTCCTGCACAGCTGACAGAGGGAAAGGAAGAAGGCACAGAAGGGGAACTCCAGAGAATCGCTCTCTCTCTCTCTCTACATATATCATATATAATATAGCTGTATTTCACAACAACATGATATACAGTTACATGGGCTCAGTTCGTTTTTGTTTATAGTTTATAGTATATATATATAGAGTTTCATATGTTTCATTGGGTCCCGGACAACTCACCGAACCCATATATATATATATCTTCTATTGTACTGTATACGTAGTTATATATGTGTATATGTGTAAATATATACTGTATATTATGTTTTTCCCTATAATTTATATGCAACTCTCAGACCATTTCGAGACAATTGCACAGATACAGGATGGACAGGTCTTGAATAGGGAGACCCCCCAAAGACCACGAGGAAGAGAACGCAACTAAAGTCCAGTGGTTGGAGAGGCTCCCTATTCTCACACACACAACACATGCAAATATTGACTTCGTGATCTGAGCTGAAGACCTGACCGGACTTGCACCCGCTTGGCCAGATCAAACCGTCGAGGTGGACGTAGTCTTCTGTGGGCGGGGTGTGGCCGACCTGGGACGTCAGCTGCGCGGGGAAGCCCAGTGCGTTCTGGTTGACCTAAAACAATAGTATTCTTCTTCAGGGAAAGCAAAGGTGCAACATGTTGCATCCTTCAATTACGACATGTGTATTGAATTTCACAGTTTGGTTTGGTAGGAGCAGAGTTCTGCTTTGGTAGATAGTCCATTGCACGTACGTTGCTAGCGATTTATGTCATTGGAGAGCATTCCAACATCTCCCAAGTTTTGCAGAATCATCATCGAGTCTCAGGTAGCTGGTGCGCAACAAAATCCTGGCACCTGCATTTTCTCCAAGCTGATTTGGCAGCATGCCCGGGCTTCTTTCAGGATATTGGCCTCTTGCCACAGACTTGCCCATTGGAGTTTTGGTTCTAACTTGTCTAGCCGTATCTAGCATTCTAGCCTGAACACTTGGCAGGTAATTGTATTAATTTGTTTTGATAATTATTGATATATATATAATTTATTGATATACAAATAAATACATATATGATAAATACTGTATATATATATATTGACTGTTGCTTTATGATGCTTTACATAATGCATAGAATTTGAAAGTACCAAATGCATCTCAGTATTTTCATGTATCTTCAATGCATCGTTCGGAAGCTCTTTCAAATCATTCAACAATGGTCGGTTCAGCATATTCTCTTCGGGTTTTGGTACTCGTACCCCGACAATCCACATTCGCACTCTCAGGTATTCGAGAGAATGCGAAGGTTCTGATGCTATCGCCTTTGCTTTGGTCTGTTGTCTCAGAGGGTCGATGTCTCCAGTTGACTGTTGCAGTTCTTCATTATTTTTGTTTTAGCCCCTGGCCCGTGGCCCTGCCTCCTTACGGAAAAAAGTAGGTGGCGCCTACTTAAGTAAGAAAGAAGTTCGCTCCTAGCTACTAGGACGCTACTAGCAACTGAGGGTAGGTCACGCTTCTTCAATTCCCCCGTTTGACGGCGGGGGGAAAGGGAGCTTTCTTGAAGAAGCGCTTGTACTAATGATTTAGTTCCTTGGTTTTGGGGGGAAACACTGAATCAAGCACATGCACAGCAAAAGCAAGCAAGAACCACGTGTGTACTTTGTGGGCAGGACATTGCCAGTCATTGCCATGTGACAACTTTCTGAACTCATAGAGGACGCTACTAGGGGCTCCTGGCATCGCTACTAGGAACAAGGACGCTACTAGGGGCTCCTGGCCTTACTACTAGGAGCAAAGGACGCTATTAGAAACAAGAAGCCAATAGAAACTCATCAAGTTCACCTCCCAGGTCCACCGAGGGCCTCGACACTGCGCTGCATGCCAAGAACCTGATCGGCAACCAGCTGCGTCGTCAGCTGCGTGGGTGGGGGGGGGGAAGGAAATTGGAGACGTTGAGTCCAGCAGTGTTTAGTGGAACTTAGAACCTGGATGACAGCGCGACGTTTGTTGGGACAAACTATTTACCAGGTCGGTGAAAAAGTAAAGTTGAAAAGTCATGAAAAGTCCCATGGCAGCAGTGACGACCTCCAAACCATGAACACATAGGTTGGTTTGCTGTCATTTGTAATTAGTCATTTAGATTTGTTTGTAGTCCCAGGACTTTAGATCCCACGACTCATATTTTTGTCTGTCTCAGGAACTTCTCCCTCTTGGAAGCAGGCGCTGACGTGCTAGGGCACCTTGGACAAACCAAAACGCCAACGAAACAAACCTCGACGAGAATGGGTCACGAGCCTGAATGTTCAAACGCTCCAATACTCACATATTTTCCGGCATCATCATTGCACCAGTGCTCGACCGAAACACGAGCTCTTTATATATAGCATTCTATAGCTGCTCTTCACATATTTGTTAAGTTTAAACTTCATCTTTGCACGTTTCCTGTCAATGCATCGCTGGAGAGGAGTAAAATCCGAGGTTTCCTACCTTGGATTCAAATTTCCATTGGAACTTCGCCGTTCATCGCCTCCGTTTGGAGAACTGGACATTGCGCTACGAGGCTTTCCCCACAGGCAAGGTCCGATGAGCACAGCGAACATCGCAGAAGCTCTCTGAGACATAGACATCCGCGATGCGGAGATTAGAGGGCGGCAAATGTTGGTAAATCAAATCGCAAGTATATATTATGCAATGCAGGACAGTCAAATTAGTTATATATATATATATACATGTTTTTTTGCACATGATTTAATAGCTGTAAATGGACAGTGTTTTGTGGGACTAATGCAGGCATTGGAGCAAGTTAAGTTCAGTTCTGTCAGAGAAGCGAGGCGGTGTGACATGTCATTTTCTAGGGTCACAGGAACATGTTTGACAGGGTTTCGACCTCTTGAACTCGTTCAAGGCACCGGATTTGTGCTGTTTTGTTGCTTTCGGATTGGTTCGGATTGTATTGTTTGCTTTCAGGCTATGAAGAGACATTGGAGGCGTGGCCTGGGGAGACAGTCCCAGAGCTTGTTCACTTACAAGGTTCAGGGCTTCAAGGGCAATGATTTTGCAAAGCAGAAGGATCATAACGCTATAAGGACATCCGACAACATGTTAGTATATACCTATCCCTTGCGCCTGTACTATTACCTGTGACAGTCAGTAAACGACTGTCACTGTTTTTGGACAAGGCCTTTACTAATCAGCATCATCCACTCTTACTGGTACTTGTAATAGGATAGACCAAACCTATCCCAGTATTGGACGATGGCCTACCAGATGCTGTTAGGAAGACAAACACCAGTTATCATTCATTGGATAAAAGAAGTTAAAAAAGGATAAAAAAGGTAGTTTCTTTTCCACGCCCCTGAGTTTTGTCAGGATCGATGCTTTCGAGGGGATGCGACCTCTGTGAGCCGAATCTTCAAAGCCTCTGGCTGGAAGCATGTGGTGAACAGGCTCAGGCAGGGAGGGTTGGCACGGACAACGACTGGCCCAGTGTGAATGTATCATAAGTTGCACGAGAAGCTTGCAGTTGTTCTTATGTTCTTGCAGTGAGAGTTCAGGAAATTTGATATGAGTACCCGACAGAAATACTGTAAGTCAGCAGTAGTCTTCGGCTGGACATAGTTTTTTGAAAAAGTGATTTGACTACACAACTGATAGGGCAAATTGATACCCTGGTGATGGCCCACACAGAACCAATACCCCAAAGAGTTGTAGATGTATAATAAAACCTGAGACCGATAGAGCACCACCCAAATACTGTACATGCCATCCAAATTATGGACGACCTTGGCGGGTATAGAATAAGTAATATTGTCCGACATTCATATATATATATATATTATATTCACACCGCTACTCGAAGGGTATCCACCAGGTCATCCACTCTCGACCGTAGCATTGAATCTCGAGGTTCTGATTACTCATTTTCCATGGCCCGCAGGGTGAAACATGTCGCGTTGTCGCTTGCGCTTCTTTTCTTTTTACATGCTGCCCAAGTTGGCAGCGGAGCCCTAGTTGCTCCAGGGCCTTCCTACGAACGCTTTGCTCGTCGTGACTACAGGAAGCTTCGTTTGGAAGGGTTCAATCAGGCCGTATCGGTGACATGTACAGTTCTTGACTGGCTTGACCACCTTTTGCATCCGCCGCCAGTCGAGTTGAATTCACAAGAGACCTCGAGCCCAAACCTCACGGGACCGACAACAGTTGACTTCGACTTCACGTGTGTGCGCCTTTCGCAAAGTGACATGTGTCCGCACCGCTTGAAGCTTTGGATTCAACCGTTTGGTGGATTGTGTGAATGTCCAGCCCCCGACCTCCTGCACTCAGAGGCAACACGAACACCTTTGTTTTCTGACTGCTTTGGATCCGTGAGCACAACCATGGCTGACGACTTTCACACCAGATTTTTCTACGATACAAAACCGGATTACGAAGGGATGGACAGTTTTGACAGCTTTGACAGCGCTTGCAGCTGCTACAGTCTTGATAAAGTTTACATTGACGTTGACCGCAGTGTTGACGGGGACGGCAGTTGCAATGAGACGCATATTGAGCAGTATTTGACAGAAGTTGAAGCCGGCACATTGCCCCACGTTTCCAGTGATCAGACTTGCAGCTGTGGACATTGTACTGGAACGACTCACGAGACCACCGTTGAACAGCGGGCTGTACCGCGAGAGTTAGGAACTTGCACTGGTAAACATTGTGTTGAACCGTTGCATGACGCACCAGCTGAACGGCGGGCTGTACCGCGCAAGTCGACAGTGGAACTGCGGGCTGTACCGCGAGCACTGCATTTCAACATTGCAGACAGCTGCGGTGATGACTGGAGCGAAATGGAGCTGGACGCATATGAGCACCAGTTCTTACCCCATCCAATTGAGATGGAATGCGCCGGCCTCAATCCTGCAGTCAATAGCACTGCTCACCGAGGCTGCCCGGCCTCGTCCATGGTAGCCAATAGGCAGGTGGATATCGACCAAGTCGGGCACACAGGTTCCCCTGAAAGTATGAGTCCATCCGAGTATTACCACACAGGTCATGAAAACCAAATCAACCAGGGTGTCGGGTTCCGTGCATACGCGCGCACTCCGCACACATTCATGCACACTGCCCAGGACTTAGCAGAGGCTGCATCCTCGGCCTTTTGTGTTGCCAACTTCAGGAACACTTTCTTGGTCGCCCTTTGTTTTGCTATGCATGTAGCATGCCAAGCAGAGCAAGGCGCCGAAGACTTGAAAGAACCTCCGAAGAGCACCATAAGCTTAGTCAGTGCAGTGTCGAGGCGAGCAGTGCCTTTCATGGTAATCCTGACATGTATTCCGCTAGCCGCCATAATGTGCCACATGCTTCCTGGTAACTCCAATGCTTTGCGTACCCCACCGTCCTGGAGCCCTGAATTGGAAGGAAGCTACCCATTCAGGCAGTGGGCCCGGGACATCATGTTGTGGTCCATCGCCACAGACATGGAGCCTGCCAGGAAGGCCGCCAGTGTCATGCTTGTCTTGAAAGGAGCTGCAAAAGAACTCTCACGACAGATCCCCCTCAGGCAGTTGTGGAGGGGGGAGTTGTGAATGGAACACCAGTCGATCCCCTCACCTTCCTGATGCACACCTTACAAGAAAGGTTCGGTAACCTAGGAGAAGAAGTAAGAGTACAAGCTGTAACCGAACTTATGAGCTTTTCCAGAAAAGGCAATGAAAATATCGATGCACTCCTCGTTCGCTTCGACAGCATTCGCACCAGAGCAGCCGAACAAGGAGGTGCCATCGTGAGTGTGCAAGGTGTGGCCTGGCTGCTGTTGCGAGCAGTCGGGATCTCAGACCAACAGTTGTTGCATCTCCTCCAGCCGTTTGGGGGTTTGTTTCCTGCAAATGAAGCCGAGCTGACACAGCTCAAGACGAGTCTTCGCAGGATGGGACATATCCTGGAGCATGCGCCTGGGAACATCCGTGAAGGGCTTCGCAGTCAGAGTTCGAATGCATCTGGTTCGTACTTGACCCATAGCGAGGCCTATTGGACAGACCAGGAAGCTTGGCCTCAGTCCCACATAGGTTCCGATAGGTGGTCGGACACTCATGCATTCCCCGCCACTGCCACGCCAGGCATGCCTTCCGAACCCGTGGATGCCTTCGCCACGTTTGAGGACGATGACATAGACACTGACTCGATCACCAGTTCAGGTGAGTGCAGTTCGATCCGTGACGATGGTGCAGACCCTCAGAGAACAGCCCAAAATTTGTTTTGGGCCTACCGACAGGCCAAGCATAAGTGGCGCAAATACATGGGCAAGAACACCAGAGCTGTTCGCCGCTATGCCAAAAGATTCGAGCGCCGAAAGGGAAAGGGTAAAGGCAAGCCGCAATCAGCCTATGCAGTAGGTAAGGGAAAAGGCAAGAAAGGTAAGAACCAGACTTCCGCAATGCTTGCAGAGATGTCGGATTCTGAACTTCAACATGCTTTGCCAGCATTTCGTGGTCGCCGCACGCCTGGTAAGGGTAAGGGTCGCAAAACCAATCCCAGAGGCCCTGATGGGCAGACCATGCGATGTTATGAATGTGGAAGCATTGAGCATTTGGCAGGTTCGCGCCCCCGGCGCCAAGGTGGACAGCCATCCGGCCAGGCAACAACGTTCTTTGCCAATCCCACCAGGAGTGCGCACGATGCATCCGCAGGTCCGTTGGCTGGTATATTGGGGGCAGATGACATGCACGCTGCCCCATCAAGAGCCCATGTCGTGACATTCGCGACTCACGCCAATGAACTCAGTCAGCCGAATCAAGTCTTTCGAAGCTACATGGTTTCAGAAAGCAATGAAGAAGATCCATTGCAAGCCAATGACCCTTGGGGGTCCACCACCACCAGATCATGGTCCATTCCAACGTCGATCCCTCAGAGCTTCGGTCCGGCGCCGGCCTCCCGACCGTCTTCCGCATCAGCCAGACATGAGAACAACCCGTTGCAGTATTTTCGGTTTCCGTTCAACAACTTCGGGTTCGGTAGGTCAGCAGTGTCAGAGCCAGCACAGGCCATTCATGTCGGAAATTCTGAGTCAGCCTCTCGGACGTCGACGCCGCAGGACTTTGTGGCTAGCTCACCTCCTGGACTGGCAGAAGCTCGATCGCCCTTGATGGGTGACACGCCGGCAGGGTCCTCAGACCCTAATTCAGGGAATATGCAGTGGGCGTCTATGGCTCAAATGCCTCCGGACCTTCGTGAGTTGATGCCATGGCCAGTCCTGGCCAACACACGTGCGACGCCAGAAGTGCCGAGGTTTGCCATGAATCCCGCTTTTGATTTCCTTCAGATGAGTGAGCAACTGCCCATGCCGACGCCACCTTCGTTGAGAAATCCTCAGCAGTCGACCTTGGAAGGACCTCTGAGAGACCAGATCGAGGAATTCCATTATGTGCAGCAACAAGTTGCTTATCAACGCCAACAGGTTCGAAATGCTCGACCACAAACACGTCCCAATGTGCAAGTCCGTTCGCAGCTAGATCCGCAGCATAGGCCAGAACTTGGCGAGTTCCACCAAGTGCAGAGGACGGTGGCGCGCAACTGGCGCCGAAGCCGGATTAGTGAGAGATCAAT